CCCCCACCCGCAGACGAATTTGTTGTCTAATTCGATGCCTCGACGTATCGAAGTTACCCGATGCAGTGTTGAGTGAGCGCACCTGTCGGAGGCCTCACGATAATACGTACGTGCGTATCTCGCATGGCGAGGTTACCTACGTTCAGTAGAAAACTCAGTGAGTAATTAATGATTATTATTAATTAATGATTTACAAATCTGGAAATCTGGAATTAGCTTAGTTATACGGACAAGAAGCACTGAGCGCTCATTGAGCATTTTTTTTTTCTGCCGAACGCAACCATTGTATGCGCGCCACCTATTAGCGCCTTATTATTTTAGAAGTTCAGAAGAATTTATTTAGGTCGGATTATATATATATTCGGTATCACGAAAGATTGCAATCGATGTCGGTTGGAGAGCATCGTGCAACAAAGTCTTGTTTATATGTTCGTTTAATGGAAAAAAAACTGTTGTGTGTACCTATATAGGATGACGTGTTCTCGCGACTTTGTTTCACGCCATCCGCGGATCAGGTGTAAGCATATCCTCGACATGGCTTTTTTGTATTAGACAGCAATCACTACATTAAGGATCTTTTTCATTTGAGAGTTTAGTACTCCCCTCCCTCTCTCTCTCTCTCTCTCTCTCTCTCTCTCTCTCTCTTTCTTTCTTTCAGTTTATACTGTACAAACTACAACTTATCGTTGGTAAGTATCGTATATTTAAGTCGATTAATGAAAACTCTTGGTGAATCAAAAAACGTTTTGGAAAGGAGACAGTCGATAATTCGATGTACAATTTTAAATAAAACATATGTATTTAACTATGTAAAATGTGCACACTGTGATAATTCAGTTGAGCGTTTTTCCGCAACGTGCGTTTTGCGGCAACCACCTCGCAGCCACCTCCGCGAATACGCACCACGGCACAAACGAACATACCGGCAATCACTATCGCATTTCAGGTATTCGATATCAGCTCGAGATTCCCGCCGATCCGGAAGCGTGTCGGGCGGACACGCGGATCTGAATTCACTTTGAAATGCCTTTCGCACGGTGTATAATCTCACTCTTCCTTTCCCAGCTTTTCCAATATGTCCGCTCCGTCGCGATTCATCGGCCCCGTCCCTCAATCTTTTAATATAATAAATTTCCCCGATCCCTATAGATCGATAGATCCTCGCAGGGGATCGCTTCCTAATCACTAACCCGAGCTGGCCGTGGTGAATATTTGATTCGAGATCGCTCGGCGCTAAAATAGCCGGTTGGTTTGACACGTTGTCACTTGTGCGACGACGACGTACGTAGGCAGGTACGCGTGGCGCGAAACGTAATTGAACGCGCGCACGAAGATAGGAGCGGGCCACGACGTCACTCGTGCATCGTATCTCTCATCTAAGTTATTAAAGTGATTCAATATTCGGCCCGGGGTCAACGGTCACGCGTGTAGGAGGGACAGGTCTCTCGCGCGCGCCCGACCGTATATCACGAACAGTGCCGTTGGCGTACGTGGAATAATTTCCACGAGAAATTGCACACGTCACACGCGAGTAACCGCCTCGAGTCTCTCGGGGACTTTTTACCCGGGCGGCTTTAAAAGTGAAACCTGGTGATAGGAAGGGCATAAATTAAGTGCGTTCGTGTGTGTGTGTGTGTGTGTTTTACGGCGCGGCGCGCTTCCCTTATCCGATGGTTACGCGCAGGTACTCCACTTAGCTGCGCTCGGCATTCTGTAAGCCGAAGATGCGGGATCGCTCTCTTATCTCGAAAATCGCTCGGCAATTCACATCTTTCTGCTCCGTATCGTCATATCTGCGTTCGTTATTAATTTTTTTCCGAGGAAATCGTGCTCCTCGATCCTCTCAAAGGGCTCAAAAGGCCGAGCTCGCGGATGCACGCTTCTTTGTCCGCGAATACGTAAGCGAATATACAAATATATATTAAATTAATATGTTCACTTTGTTGAAACATTATTTTTCAGCATATTCGCCTTATTAAAGTAACACAAAAATTAAATTTAAGTTGACTGTTTGTAACCATATTTTCAGAACGTCGAAGCATTTTCTGATACGTGTGTATATATTTTTGCATCTACCTGTGTCGACTCGATTTATATCGATTATGCTGAATGAAATGAGAGTGTACAGCAAGATTCGACGATTGAAGATATATATCCCCTGAACAACGGAAGTCAATAGAAGGAAAATGATACACGAACCATCGCACGTAACTGTTGCGTTGCTGACATTTCTGAGTCGTGATCATAATTTACCTATTTATTCCTGTTCTTGTCCCCTTTTAATTAAACAGTTTTCTTTAATTCAGTTCTATAGTTATTTTTCGCATACACGCAGAAACGAATGTCAGAATGCCGCGGAGACTGTGATAAATGAACGTGGACGAGGCGCAACAATATATTAAAAAAATTAATTTTTAAGTTTTTTAATATGTCTATGTAGGATCCTGACCGCTGGAAAGTGATACAGACTCTAGCCTAAAACATTACAAAGTTGTGCGCCGATCCGTCGCAATAACTGCTTCCGTTTTTATTGAAACTGTTTCCTACCCCTTTCAGCCTGTTTATTCGCACTAAGAACCTAATGGGAAAGATACAGCTCGTGAATTATCTGCTTTCATCATAGTCAAATCGATACCTCGATCTGAGTTATGTTAGTAGACGTAGCTCAGGCACACTTCGGACGTAAATGTCGGGGAAGTAACAAGAAGGAGAGAGGGAGAGAGAAAAAAAGAAAGAGAGAGAGAGAGAGAGAGGGAGACGACGACTACGACGAAAAGAGGTCGTCGTGGATAGAAGGAATTCGGAAACTTTCCCAGAGGTGGAAAGATCGTCGCCCTTCTCGCCACGGTCCCGGTTCACGGAGAGAGACAATCCGAAAGTAACTTCTGGTACGGGCTACTGGCGCCACGGGAAACAATCGGCCATCGCGATCGTTCGGTACAGTCGCGCACCCTGGACAACTGTTTCCCCGGGTCCGGTATCTATCTCAGTTAGACATTAGATTTATCGACATATTTTCTCAGTCTTTTGAGAGAGAGAGAGAGAGAGACTTTATTTACTTTTGTACAACGTCGTCTACCTCGTCTCGCGCACCACTCGCGTATACACCCGTCTTGTTTCGGGGGCCGCGTCGGACCGCCGTGCGGTCGACCAGATCGGAGGGGGATAGCAGAAGCGCGGCTTTTAGCCGGCAAACGGTGCTCGTATAAATTCCGTTTTAAGCGGAAGAGTAGCTTCGCGAGAGACGTGAGAACTGAAAAATTGGACGAGGATCGAACGGGCTCGGTGGGAGGGCGATAACATGTTGCACCGCTTGAAGCGGAGACTCGGAGAGTCGAGCATTGAGAAGGATCATCGGTTAAGGATTAACGAGGTTTAGTGTATTCCTCCGACGTACGCCGAAGCGCGTAAATGCGCGGCGCGCTTATTTTTATCGCTTATGCATGCTTTTAAAGAGAAGTGTAGCTGAGCAAGTGTGACGAAGCGTAGCGGCTCGAGTCGGAATTTCGATGCTACTTTGACGCTCTTGAGTTTGGCTACTAGGTCTATGTAGATATTAATGAAAACGTCCTTTCTTGACGATACCGACACTTATTAACTTCTCTCTTGAATCTCTCTGATCCTACAAATTTAATTATAGTTTTGAAGGCTGAGGGAAAAACCGGTTTCTTCAATCTTCCGCGTTGGGTTAAAACCTGCCGCATTTATTTATTTTTTTCCGTAAGGAAGACGAGAAACCGGAAACGTCCGCGGGAAAATGGGAAAAATCCCTGATTTCTCTCCGAGCCTTCGAAACTAGAGATTTCATTTCAATGTTACCTCGAGCAACGTATTTTGACGGTAAAACAACGAAAACGGAAATTTAAATCTAAAATTACGGCCGGCGTAACGACATAATTGCACGGTTGTTTAACGAGCGTTAAGCCTGAGATTAGAGGTATCGGCGGAAATTTCTATTACTATGATCGTAACCGATGCATGGTTACTGCGGACGAGGGGATTCCATGATCTAACTACCGTGTGATCGCCCGAAACGATCTTTCGGATGCGTCCCGCCGGAACTTTTCGAATAATTCGTAAAAACCCGCAGAGGGACAAACAAGTCCATAAAGACCTCGCGTCATCTCTCTCTCTCCTCTCTCTCGCGTCCTCTTTCGACCGGTTGTTTAACGGAAGTTTTACATTTCTCGGAGGTGCGATCCATCCATCCAAAATTCTCGTCACGCGGTCCGCGCGATACACGTATCCGGATCAGCATCGATGACAGACCCCGAAATAATTCAGACATTGGAAAGAACAAAAAGAAATAGTAAACGATCACCGAAACGTGCCGATGATAATTTATTCCGCGAAATCGACGACCCTTACTTCCGACGAGCGGCACCTTTGTATTCCCTCTCGCGATCCTCTTCATTCCTACGACTTCCCTTACGAACTCTCCCATTTTCTTTTTTTGCAGAGGTTGCGAACACCATAATTCACCGGCGGCGGCGGGAGGGACGGCAGCGAGCTGCTTCGCCCGACTTGGCAATTAGTCCCGATTAATTTCTCAAAAATGAGGAGGAACGCGCGCGCGCTCTGCGGTAGGTACAGATCTTTTAGGATAGGAATCTCGGAGTCGAATAATAGGAGGCTAAAGGAGGCTAACCACACACGAGGGCCCGGTCTCTGTCTAACCTCTCTCTCTTTCCTTCTGCCCTCCACCGCCCGTCCGGTGTATCACTATCCGGGTATTACTTCGATATGCAAATCTCCCCGATCTTACAGGGTACATTTCACTCCGTGTCATTAGCATTCATCTCTCGTCTCATCCATCATCGTTCACCCCATCTCTCTCGTTTACTAATTTTTCCTTTCATTTTTTCCACTCGCCTATTTTTTCACTCTCACTTCTTGTCTCCCTTCTTTTTCCCATTCGCCGA